GAACCGCACTTGCATCGCGCGCCTGGGGCGCAGGAATGGCTTGGGGCGGCCATGGTCACTCGCAAGAGCACGGGCATCACGTTGGGGACCCCTGTTCTAACCTTACCGTTCCCAAACAGAGGTGAAGTAGATACCTTGTGGCGGGGGTCAGGAAACTGCCCAGCGCAGTCGACCGGACCCACTCCTGTTGGCACTGGGGCCTTTGGGAGGACCAGAAACAATTAATGTGCATATTCATCATTTGCTTAATGAATATGCACACGTGCAAATAAATGTTACCGGTCCGCCAAAAGCTTGTGAATGATACTGGGGACCAGTATCAAAAAGATTGGGAACCACTGCTTCAGGAGAAAAACTAGAGAGCAGGGAGGGGGCATTTTGATTTGCTCTAATGTGGGGAGGGGTATGCTCCGGAGGGAGATGCTGCCAGCCCCTGGGTTGGGGGGGCAACAGTTACCCCCGTGGGATGAGACACCTGCTGAGTGTATAAAACAGGAGGGGGGCATAAAGGGCGCAGAGACGTTTTTATTACCCCTCTAAGGCAGGGCTGGCCCACAACATTTTAGCACCTGAGGCGGGGAGCTCAAATGACGCCCCCATGTCCCCTCACTTGGGCCAGAACTTTGAAAGGTCTCAGTTCTGCCTCCTTCCTGTTCTACTCCTCTCCTGGGACCGCTCTGCTACCTACATCTGCACCCTCAGCAGACACAATTTTCTACACTCTGGGTCCTAGTGGTGTCTCCTCCTTCCCTCCCAGTCTAGCACCTGGGGCGGCTGCCTCAGTTCGCCTCATGGTAAGGCCAACCCTGCTTTCAGGGCACTGCAGAGAAGCAGAGGGAAGCTTCATGGCTGTGTATTTAATGGTAATTCCTTAGCTCTCACTGCTAAACCCCACAGCACCTTCTTGACATCTACTGGTACACAGACAGGAACCATGATGACTTCAGCAGGGAATATTGAAATCCATTTAAGTAAGTAGCAGTTAATGGTGTTGGCAATCCCATCTGTTTTACTTGCGGCCTGTTTTTATAGCACAACTTCATTCTGTGGGGTCTTACCTGTCACCATGGTGGTACTGGGGAATGCAGGGCATAGTATCCAGCCTGTCAGGCTCACAAAAGACCTTCCCCTGCCCCACTCCATCTCTCCTTGAACCAAAGTAAATCAGAAGACAAAAAACACTGAAAAGGCAGGGAAGACACAACTTAAACCCCTCTGAAAGCTTCCCTACCCTCACGTGACCCTGCTGTCCCCACCAACGAGCCTGAATTGGTTCTCACTGAGTGTGTGTGAATGGGGGTTGGCTGGGTGGATACAGCCAGACACGTCTGAAAGCTTTGGGAGAAGGAACAGCAAAAGCAGGGGGCTAGGCCAAGTTTCACTCCGGTTCCTACATTTGTGGCTTTAGGCCTCCTGCCCCATAAAGCTTCAGGGGAAAAAAAGATCCAGCTGCAGACAAGAGCTTTTCCCATTGCACAGGCATCGCAGGGCTCAGAACATCTTCATGGCCACAGAGCCGCTGGCCTGGCCTCGGGTAAACGCTTCTGGCTCTTCTCTCCCTCCAGATATAACCATTGTGAGCAGCGGAGGAGGACCTGACACTCTACAGGGATCCATTGCTGGAGCTGTCTTGTGTGAGTGTCTCTCCCAGGGCCATAATTCAAAATGTCCCAGATATATTGGAGAAATGGGCGGAGGGAAACAGGATGAAGTTGAATAAGGACAAATGCAAAGTGCTCCACTTAGGAAGGAACAATCCGTCTCAGACACACAGAACAGGAAACGACTGTCTAGGAAGGAGTACTGTGGAAAGGGATCTAGGGATCAGAGTGGACCACAAGCTGAATAGGAGTCAACAGGGTGACTTTGTTGCAAAAAAAGCCAACATGATTCTGGGCTGCATTCACAGGAGTGTTGTGAGCAAGACGTGCACTACTCTGCACTGATCAGTCCTCAGTTGGAATCGCTTCCCCCCACATGGCCCTCCACATTGCACCCCTGAGCCATGGGTACAACTGCACAGGGTGGGGCTAAAACTGAGCGATAGTATCAGACTCAGTACATTGGGTCTGGCCCTACAGAGCTGCACCCTGGGTCACACATGAGTGTCTGTGTAGACAAGCAGCAATGGGCTTAAATTGCAGCCAGGGAGGTTTAGGTTGGACATTAGGAAAAAGTTCCTGCCTGTCAGGGTGGTGAAACACTGGGATAAATTGCCCAGGGAGGTTGTGGAATCCCCATCTCTGGAGATATGGAAGAGTAGGTTAGATAAATGTCTATCAGGGATGGTCTAGACAGTATATGGTCCTGCCATGGAGGCATAGGACTGGATTCTATGACATCTCGAGGTCCTTTCCAGTTCTAGTACCCTAGGATTCTATGATTCTGGGACGAGGGAGTTTGCTGAGGAGTGTTTCTGTTCTGTGCTCTCATCAAACACTAGAACTGGCAGGACCCAGCATCATCTAGACCATACTTTACAGGTGTCTCTCCAACCTGCTCTTCAATATCTCCAGGAATGGGGATTCCACAACCCCCTTGGGCAATTTATTCCAGTGTTTCACCACCCTGACAGGCAGGAACTTTTTCCTAATGTCCAACCTAAACCTCCCTGGCTGCAATTTAAGCCCATTGCTGCTTGTCTACACAGACACTCATGTGTGACCCAGGGTGCAGCTCTGTAGGGCCAGACCCAATGTACTGAGTCTGATACTATCGCTCAGTTTTAGCCCCACCCTGTGCAGTTGTACCCATGGCTCAGGGGTGCAATGTGGAGGGCCATGTGGGGGGAAGCTTGCTTGGGAATCTAGAGAGAAATGCCACTCCACCCCTCATCCCTGCTGTAAAGGTTTTGTTGCTGTGGGGCTGAGTGCTGCCCCCTGACTGGTGAATAAGTGATAAACTCCCATCCTGCCCCATCCTGTATCTGCGGCAGGAGGTCTGAAGTCCATCAGGAGAGCTGCACGGGGCAACCTAGGAAAAGAGCGGAAGGGACTGTGGGTAGGGATGTTAAATATCAATTGACTGAATAGTCAAGTAACTTCATGAATTCATTTTTTGCTTATCAGTTAATTGATTGACTACACTATTCCATCCCTACATTTTTCTCCTTCCGGCTGTGTGTGAAGCGGCCACCAGAAGCCTGGCTGCACCATGCACAGCTGTTAAAGGGTCTGCAACTTTTTTTTCTCAACAACTTGGCTTTGCCCTTTGCAGTGCAAAAGCCCCAGGCTGGGATAGTAATTGGGGGTGGGTGCTACAGTTTGGGATGAAGAGGAACTTAGGGCTCTGTTTACATTGTGACACTTGATACAGTTATGAGACTTGGTTCTTGAAAAGTGTCCCTGCCAGATGTCCTTGCCCACGTTCTGTGATGTAGTGGGGGCCTCTGTTGATGCCGGGAGTCCCAGGATTCACTCGGATTTGTATTCACTCTGTTGTGCTCTACATGATACTACTGTGCAGCTCTGGGGTAACTCTGTGTCTGTGTGGGCCTCAGTTTCCCTGGGCACTGCAACACTAGCTGCATGAGGAGGGGAGGGCTGGGCATGACTCACTGAGGAAGTATGTTCAGTCTCTCCCAGCCTGAGGGCCATTACAGCAGGTAACATGGAAGCAGAACAAAGTAGGAGGAGGGGCTGCCTGGGGGCTGGGCTCAGTGCCTGGGAGTGAGAGTTTAGCTTTCAGCTGGCTGAGGGAAAAGGGAGCCTCACTGCCCTGGGGGGCCAGGGCAGCGGCCCAGAGCTGGGGCTCTGGGTTCTCCATCCCCAAAATGGATGGTACTAATTGCTCCTGGTTCCTGCAACTAGTCTGAACTACTCTGTGGCCCTGCCAATGAATAAACCTTGCACACTGGTCTCCTACTGCTTTTAAACTGCAGAGCTGCAGCGGGGATCTTTATTGATTACTTGTGTTCTTGGTACAAATTATAGATTAGTCAATTACCTCCTTCTTAACATCCTTAAGTCGCAACACCTCTAGGAGCTGTCACCTGACTGTATCATTGTGCTCCAATTGCAGATTTCTTCCATGCTTCATTCTCCCTGCACATAATCATCTTCCTCCTGCCCGGGGGAGGTTTTTCTGTAGAACTCTGTGTAGCAGCAGGGGGTCAAAGATCCAGTGACCCGTCGGAGCCCCAGAACGAGCCAACCAGCTGTGATGTGGAGGAGCCAATGGACATTGATTAGGGGATTGTATTTTATAACATTACAATAAACACATAATTTGTGAAAACTGTTATTTGCTCCTATTAAATAAAAACGTAAGGGGAACCTGTACTACCCCGCCGTGGCAATAGCTGGTGATGTCAGCTTTGTCCATAGTGTGGTTTTCTGGCCTGTCTCATGTCTGGTGCACCAGAGCACGCAGGCACCCCTCTCCCCCTCCCCAATGCACCCACCCCCCACCTACCC